CTGCAATCCCTTCTCCTCCATTCTCCTCTCAGGATCCTGGGTACGCACGCACATGCGCCCGGCGTGAGTTCTAAGCCACCGGGTCTGGGACGCGAACCACAGTCGACTACGTGGGAGTCCAGCGCCACAGCCATTAGGCTAACTGCTGGTTCCCAATAATTCTTTACAAAAAGAGTTGATGGAGGGGCCGGCAGGTGGCATGGTGGTTGGGGGTGCTGGACTCCCACATGGCTGACCTTGGATCGAGTCCCAGACCTGGCAGCTTGCTTTCTCACTTTCTCTCTCACTCTATCTCTCTATGGGCAAATAAAAATAAATAAATAAATGGATAAAGATAAATAAAATAATTAAAGAAATTTAAAAACAAAAGAGTTGATGGAGAACTAGATATTCATTCACAGTGTGCTAAAGGCTCGCCCCAGTCTAGCCCATGACAAAGTAGAGAAGTCCCTCTGCAGTGCGGGTCTTGGAGAAGTCCCTCTGCAGTGCGGGTCTTGGGGTCACTGCTTTCACTTGGTGATCAGCTGGGGCCAAGAATAGAGGTCAACAGACATCGTGATCTTCTGATAGGAGGCCTTGTGAAATATATGGTAGATTTTAAAATGCTCCCACAGGGGCCGGCAGGTGGCAAGGTGGTTAAGGACGCTGTACTCCCACATGTGAAGTCACGTACCTGTAAGCTCACTGTCTCTCTCTCTCTCTCTCTCTCTCTTTGCTTATCTCTCTCTTTCTGTTCCTCTCTGCTCAAATTAAAATAAATTACTTAATTAAGTTAAAATAAAATAACTATTTAAATTAAATACATAAATAAGAATGGTCCCACCAAAGACATCCATGCCCTAATCCCTGGAACCTGTGAGTATCAGCTTATGGGGGGAGAAGGAGGAGGCTTTGCAGTTTTGATTAAATTAATGCTCTTGAGATGGGAAGATTACCATGTGTTATCCAGATGGGCCCTAAATCCAGTCACATGTATCCTCGTAAGAGGGAGGCAGAAAGGGCTGGCCCCATGGCCTAGTGGTTAAGGGAGCTGGATCCTAGATGGTCAATGGCACAGTTCCAGTCCTGCCCTGAGACCAGCTTGAAAAGCACAAGGCATGGTGGTTAAGGCACTGGATTCTCACGTGGCCAACAGCAGTTTGAACCCTGGATCTGGTAGCTTGCTTTCTCATTTTCTCTCTCTCTGGTGAGCACATAAGCCCTGCAGCATATTAGTAATAATAATATTAAGTGAAATTAAATAATTCTTTTTTAAAAAAGCCTGTTAGCGTAATGGCTATGTCATTGGACTCCCATGTAGTCGACCACGGTTCATGTCCCGGACCCGGTGGCTTAGAATTCATGCCGGGCGCGTGTGCGTGCGTGCCCAGGATCCCAAGAGGAGAATGGAGGAGAAGGGATTGCAGCGTGACCATCCTCCCTGGGGGGTGATTTCTCGCTTTCTGTCTCTCTGTCTGTCTGTCTGGCGAGCACACGCGCCCTATAGAGAAAACCTCTCCAAAAAAAAACAAAAAAAGCCTGTGTGTGTATGTGTGTGTGTGTGTGTGTGTGTGTGTATGCGCCCAAAATCCCAAAAGGGTGAAAAAATGGAGGAGAAGGAATTGTTGTGTGACCACACCCCACCGGGAGATGCTCTCTTCTCTCTTGGCCTTTTAGTTTTTTTAACTGTACTTATTTATTTTAACTTGACCAGAAAGGGACAGAGAGAGAGAGTCAGCCATGTGGGAGTCCCGCGCCCCTGAGCACCATGCCGCCTGCGGGCCCCACCAGGCCCTGTGTGCACAGCAGGAAGGGAGCACAGAAGCAGCTGGTCCTCCCAGCCGGCCAGGCCGTCTCCCATGCGCTCTCCAGTTCGTCTCCAGCAGGAGCTGGCGTGCTCCTCGGCCAGGCAGTGGCTGCCTCCCAGCGCCTGCTCTCGGCCCGTGTCCCACCCTCCTCCTGGAATGCGCACCCACTGGCCCGGGGCAAGCCCTTCCACGCCACGGCGCTCCACGGCGCTCCACGCCGCCATGCTCGGGGCAGGACCCTCGAGATCCGCCTGGCGGCTCTTCTTTCTCACATGCTGTATCCAACTTGGCAAATCCCACTGGCTCTGTCTTCCAAATAACACGAGAATCCGGCCGGGATCACCTCCTCTGCTGCTCCACTTTGTTGGAAGCCACTGTCGGCTCCCACCTAGACAACCGCCACAACCTCCAGCGGGGCGCACAGCTTCCCGCTTGCCCTGCCACGGCGTCTTCACACAACAGCCAGAGGGTTTCCCAGGCAGGAGGCAGGGCCTGTCCCTCCTCTGCTCAGAATCCTGCACACCCAGTCTCGCTCTGCCATCTTTTTTCGGAGAGGTTTTTGCTATAGGGTGCGTGCGCTTGCCAGAAAGACAGAGAGAGACAGAAAGCAAGAAATCACCCCTCAGGGAGGATGGCCAGGATCTTGGGCACGCACGCACACGCGCCCGGCATGAGTTTAAGCCGCAGGGTCCGGGACTCGAACCACAGTCGACTATGTGGGAGTCCAGCGACATAGCCATTACTCTAACTGCTGGTCCCTCACTCTGTCATCTTTGACCTCATCTCCTACCCTCTGCTCTGCTGCAGCCACAAGAGAGCCAGGAGCTGGCGGGCTCTCCCCTGTCGGCCCACGGGCCAGCTCCCAACCACAGGCTGTCTTCGCCTACACCCCAACCTGCACCAGCAGAGCTGGCCAGTATAACTTGCACCATTTGGATTGCGAAGAAACCCTAAAGCTGAGAAATAAACTTCGAAACTGTTCTGGACTGGGCTGGTTCCATGGCCTCCTGGTTAAGGGAGTTGGATCCCACATGGCCAACTGAGTGGTTCAAGTCCTGGACTCCGCTTGGGAAACACACTGGGCACTTGCGTGTGCGTACCCAAAATCGCAACAGGGTGGAGAAACGGAGGAGAAAGGATTGTGGCACTCAAGACCATGCCTCGTTGGGAGGTGCTTTTTCCCTCTCCCTCTCTCTCTTTTTCTCTCTCTCTGGTGAACACTCATGTCCGCTGACTAAAAAAAGAAGAAAAAAGCTTTGGAGATTATTTGTAGAGATGTAACTTTATATATAGCTCTTTTGGAAGACAATCTGGCAATATCTACTAAACCCGGTATTTCTACTTCTGGTAATACACCCTGATTCACGTGTGTACACAAGAATTAATGGACATGGGGGCCGGCAGCTGCCATGGGGGTTAAGAGCGCTGGACTTCCACATGGCTGACCACTGTTCAAGTCCCGGACCTGGAGGCTTGCTTTGGCACTTTCTCTCTCTCTCACTGTGTCCTCCTCGAATTAAAATAAATAAAGTTAAAATAATTCTAAACAAACAAAAAAAGAATTAATGGACATGAAATCATTTGCAGTGCTGTTTGTAATGGGAAGGGGGACCCAAATGTACTGTGTAAGGAAAATGAGTAAATTGTATATTCGTAAAACATCCTATCACAGAGCAGTGGTGAGTTATATAAGCGATGTTATGACTGATATACCAGCATGGATTCAGCTCACAGTGTTAAGAAAAAAGGCATGTCTGGGACCAGCAGTCAGCGTAATGGCTATGTCACTGGACTCCCACGTAGTCGACCGCGGTTCGTGTCCCGGACCCGGTGGCTTAAACTCACGCCGGGCGCGTGTGCGTGTATGCCCAAGATCCCGAGAGGAGAATGGAGGAGAAGGGATTGTGGTGTGGCCATCCCCCCTGGGGGGTGATTTCTCGCTTTCTGTCTCTATGTCTCTCTTTGTCTGTCTGGCGAGCGCACGTGCCCTACAGTGAAAATCTCTCCAAAAATAAGAAAAAGAAAAAGAAAAAAGGCATGTCACATAATGTTTAAAAGCCTTGCAACTACAAACATTGTTCAGATTTAAATATCATAGGAGCAGAAGGAAACGCATAGGGTTGCTAAATACTAAATTTGGGGTGGTAGCTACCTTGGTGTGACGGGTGGGGCAGGGAGAGTAATGATGTCAGAGAGGTGTGCGTGGGGCTTCGTGAGAGCTCACTGTATAACTTTTCACATCTGTGTGTGTCTGAAATAATTCTTAGTAACCTGACACCTTCTGGGACCTGTGATCCCCACAGAGCTGTGTAAAGGTAAAAGCTAAACAGCCCCCCGGGGACACGGACACGTCAGACTCCAGAGCTCCCTTGGAAGACAACTATTCTGAAGATGAAGCAGAGTCAAAAACAGGGAAGTCGCCCGTGGGAACATGCCGCCAGGTGCAATGACAAGTAACTTCGCAGCTAGGAAGGCTTACCGAGCGCGCTTGCTCAGCACGGCGGGGAGGCTGAAGATGTTCACACAGATAAACGCAGCAATTTCATCCACTCTGCTTTTTTTTTTTTTTTTTTTTAATAAAAAACAAAACAGCAGGTAGGCTTGAAAAAGAAATGTAAAAATAGAAATTCTAAAATTGAAATAAATACATAAGAAACGCAATAAATAGGTTAAATAAGCCGAGTGGAGAATTAGTGAACTGAATGGAGCACTCGAAGTCAGACGGCTGGAAAAGGGAGTTTTGAAACATAAAGGATGGGGGGGGG